CACAGCTTATGGTTCAGCCTCAGCTCAGAACCTCCGACCAATGAGAGCGTCATAGAGCCCCAGTGCAGGCGGTGCAGCAAACAGCTGGTCCCTTTCCCCCAGATAAGAGTCAAGATAGATAAATAAATAAATAAATAAGGGGACAGTTCGCACGCTGTCCCAGGAGAAAGGTTGTGACTAAGAACTGGGGGTGATGGTGTATGCTTGGAATCTCAGGTTCAGTAGGCAGAGGCACCGTCACTCTCAGAATCTGGAGGCCAGGCTGGACTCCCCATACTGAGTTTTACCACAGCTAGACACTGTCTCCAAAAAAAAAAAAAAAGTAAAAAAAAAAAGTAAATAAAACCATAGAAAAGCAGGCTCGTCCTTGAGGCTCTCCTGCGCCTCGGCCTGAAGCAGGGATTTATGGCTCAGGTAATTCTTCCTTGCTTTGTCTGGGGTGTGGGGGTGTGTGGACGTGGGGCGGGGGGGCGAGTGTATTTTCCTCGCCATAAAACCCTCAGTCCCGGTGAATAAATTTGAGGAGACAGTTTTACTGACGGATTTTTTTTTTCCTCTGTTGTGTAATAAAAAAAATGGAGTGAAATTTGAGATTGGGACGATGTGGGCTGCGAGTTTCAGGAGGATATCAAAAGCTCTCTACCTGAAGGCTGGCAAGGCTGGAGCCAGAGGGCTGCCGAGAGCCTGCTGCCCGTCCTTCTCAGGCTGCGGCTGCCATGCCAGGTGAGGCCAAGGGGCAGTTAGGCGGCCTTGCCAGCCTGGCAGGACAGGCAGGGAGTGCTGGTCCTCAGCTGGGCCTTCGGTTGCAAAGTGACTTGCATGATGCTTGTCTTCCCAGGGCATGGGGGGAGGCATACAGATGAGATGGAAGGTTTCTCACCTTGGCGAGCATGTGCGTGTGTGTGCAGGTATGTGTGAACACGTGTACAGGGATGCAGGTTCCTGTGTGTGCATGTACACATGTATGTAGATGCTCATGGTATGTGCAGGCACGAGTATGTACATGTTTATGTGTGTATGCTTATGTATGAGTGCATGGACATAGGTATATTTGTGTGTATAACATGTTCACGTGTCTAGGTGTGTGTGTGTGTGTGTGTCTGCACCTGTGCATGCATGCAATTATGCATGTGTTAAAGGCCAACCTTGTGTCCTTCCTCAAGTGCCCTCCATCTTAGTTTTTAAGCTGGCATTCAGTGATTAGGACAGACTCACTGACCAGAGAGACCCACCTCCCCTGTGCTGGGATAACAGACATGGGCCACCATGCCCAGCCTTATTACTGTGTGCTGGGGATTAAGCTACCTCCCCATGTCAATTCCAGAGTATCAAAAGTTTGTTAAACGTCTGAGGTGGGTCCTCTTCATTAAAAGCATCAGCAGTCTCTCTGGCCTGTTAATTATATGCCAGGACCTTCACGGTGATAACCAAGAGTATCTCTAGAATATGCCGGGTCCCCTGGCAGAGAAAGGGGGCTGGAAAGGTGGCTCAGCAATTAAGATCACTTGCTATTCTTGCAGAAGACCTGGATTCTGTCTCCAGCACCCACATGGCAGCTCACCGCTATCTGTAACTCCAGTTCCAGGGGGTCCAATGACCTCTTCTGGCCTCCGTGGGCTCTGCGTGCACATGATAGACAGACATACTGACAGTCAAAGCACTCATATTCATAAAATAATAAAATAAATAAATAAAATAACTAAGAAAATGTCTCCCAGTTGAAGGCCCCAGTTGAAAAGTACGTTGATGTCTCTAAGGGGCCAAGAATCCTTGAAGGGCTGGGAAGAGGGGAATGGTGGACCCACCCTGTAAGTTTGTTCTGACTTTGGAAGTAGCCAAGCCACTCGACCCCGCTCCCCCCCAGACCCTGCACCTGTCTGGTTCAGTCCACTGCAGGCATGCGGTGGTTAAGGCATCAGCCTCAGAAGCAGGCTGTGGGTATCCCCAAATTGCATCCTTCCCGGGCAAGTGCCAGCACAGAGAGCCTCATGCCAGTGAGATGCCACCCCCTCTCACACACCACGGCTCTCCTCCTCCACGCTGCCATCCTACTCTGGAATCCGGGTCCTTCTGCAGATACACAGATAAGAAAAATACAGCCGACTTCAGAGGGGACAGACCAAGTTATGAGCTAGATAAGTCCAGAATGGCGATGAGAGGCAGACAGGCTTGGTGAGGGCTGATAGGAAAACCAGCCAGGCAAAGTCCTACTGCTGATCCCACTGAGTGCCACCAAATCTATGAATGTGTTAGCATCCTTCCACCTACCACAGGTACTCACTGAGGTGTCCTTGTTCTTGGTCGTTCCTAGTCTATGGGACAGGTAACAGATGTGGCCAGTGCATGACACAGCTGAAGCCCCGTAGAAGCTGGCTGGGTTGCACTAAATGTGTGCTTTACTAAAACCACCAACACATAGTTGAAGGCAGCCTGGGTGCTGATAATGCCAGTCCTCCTGGTTCGGGCGGGGGGCGGGGGTGACAGATGCCTGGGGAAGCCACTCTCAGCATCTCCCCATCCCTGACCACCTCCCTGGCAGCCCCCTCCCCTGCTTCTACCAGAGGAGCCGCAGGGAGTTAATTCTACTTCTCCAGGCCCAGGCATGAGGCCGCCCTGTCGCAGGCTGTTAGTGTGGAGCCCAGCTGAGCGGCGAGAGGCTGCGAGCTCGCGGTCTATAATAGAGTTGCTGAGACAAGCGGAAAACTGCAGCCGAGTAAACAGATAAATAATTGAAACAGTGACAACACATACCTTGCTGCTGTGTGGAGTAACACTTTCATTAGCGGGAGGCGGTGGAGACCAGGCGCGTGCTCAGGGCAGCCGCTGCTGGGGAGCCCCAGACACACGGGCCTGGCTCTCCTCTCCGGCAGCTGTGAACAGCAGGACCCTGCAGCAATCTGGGCCCCAGCACCGGGGTCCCCTGCTTCCCCAGCTTTCATGCACTCAGGTGGAATGGAGACCTTGCAGCCTCCTCCTCAGGACTGTCCCAAGGGTGGCTACAGAAAAACAAAGGCAAGCGTCCTGTACTGATAGACCCCATTTGTCTGTCCCTGGGTCGCTGCTTCTGGTGTGGCCTCCCTCTTGGACTTGCTTCTGCAAGACCAGAGGAGGTTATAAGCAGAACCCAAATCTGACCCTGGTGACTGGTGTCTGCAGGGGGTGGGACATTGCTCTGTCCATAGGTCCTCAGTGGTGGCACTCTGCTGTCAGGACCCTCTCGGGCCCCCTCCCTCTTACTCCGGGCACTCGAAGCAGTCAGTCACTTTCACAGAGGTAGCTGAGCTGATCCCTCCTGCGTCTGCCCTTGGCTCCCACCACCTGCTCCGCCAGGCTGACTCTTCTCCCACCTCCTGCAGAAGCAGTTTTGACTTCACATCCTCCAAGATGCCCTTGTGGGTGCTCCCCGCCCTCAGAAAGTGCCCTTCCCCCTCTTCTGGATTCCCATACCACTCTGGACCTAACCTCTCTGGGTTTATCAGAAATGGCTGTGATGTCTTGGGCTGGTAAGAGCACCTGTTCTTCAGGCCTGGAATTCACATGGTAGAAGGACAGACGGACTCTCCAGTTGTCCTCTGACCTCCTCAGTCACCCCACACAGCATGTGCGGCATATATGATAATAATAAGAACACTAAAAAGCAGAAATAGTTGCAATATAGCTTATTTGTCTTTCCACAAGTTATTTGCCTTCTGATGGTCCCCTGGCCCTCCATTCTCCCCTCCTTACTAGCTAGCCTTCCCCCTCTCCTGTCTTCTCTCTACTGACTAATGCTCTGGGATCAGGCCCTGATTCCATATCTCACTCTACAAAGCTCATTCTGGTCCTGCCCACAGTTACCCGGGCCACACTTGCCATTTCAGCAAAGCAGAGCCTTCGTGGTGGATGGAGCTCCTGGTGCCTGGAAAGACTCAGCAGGGAGAGAGGAAGAGGCCACTAGCTTCATTCCATTCATGCCTGCAGGGCCTCAGAAGACCCCCCCCCCCCTTGTGCTCCACCATGTCTGCAGGGCCTCAGAAGGCCCACCATGTCTGCAGGGCCTCAGAAGGCTCCCCGAGTGTTCCACCATGCCTGCAGGGCCTCAGAAGGCTTCCCCAATGTTCCACCATGCCTGTAGGGCCTCAGAAGGCCCACCATGCCTTCAGGGCCTCAGAATCCCCCCCACCAGTGCTCCACCATGTCTGCAGGGCCTCAGAAGGGTCCCCAGCATTTGCAGAATTGAAAGTCCAGCCCCTCCCTGCTCAGAGGTCAATGCTCTGGTGGCTGGCACCAGTGGAAGAGAGCCAGACTTACTCACAGGCTGGCTGCTGTCTTCCAACTCCACATCAAGCTTTGCAAGAGGGAGGAGGAACGTGGCAGGGAAGTTCTGTGTGGGGTGCTCTTTGTGGTCAGCACACATGTCTTCCATCTCTTTCTCTAGGGCATGGCTTAGGTAATGAGCTTGGCCTCCCGGGACCAGAGGCTACCATTCTTTTTTTATTAATTAATTTGCTTTATTTAATTATTTATTGTGCGTGTGTGTGTGTGTATGGACATGCCACAGTGCACGTGGAGGTCTGAGGGCAATGCTCAGGAGTCCATTCTTTTCTACCATCTTGAACCCAGGAATCAAATTCAGCTTGTCAGGCTTTGGCTGCAAGCTCCTTCACCTGCTGAGCCATCTCGCAGGCCCCGTGGCTCTTTTACAAATGCCTAAACCGTCAGTGGAGTGCTTGGATTCAAAGACCGGGAAAGCCTAGCAAAGTCTAGCAGCCGGGCAGCCCCTGTGGATAATGGAGGAGTGGGGCAGGATGGGGCGGGGCAGCTCACATCTGCAGCACATGTGTGGAAATCTTCCTCTGCTGAGGGAGAGAGGGAAAAAGAGAGGAAGGCAGAGAGGGAGGGAGGGGAGAAGGAGGGAGGGAGGGAGGAGCAAGGGCAGGGACAAGCCAGGGGAACTCCTGAGGAAAGCGGTGACCAGGGCCCACCAGGGACTCACCTGTGGCTACTCTGCTCTGTGGCAGGTGACAGATGGTGGCACCATCAAGCAGAAGATTTTCACCTTTGACGCCATGTTCTCCACCAACTACTCACACATGGAGAACTACCGCAAGCGGGAGGATCTCGTGTACCAGTCCACTGTGAGGTGAGGCCACCCGAGCTGGCAAGCTGGCAGCAAGCATGTGAGCAGGAAGAGGGAGGGGCGAGCCTGGGGGCGTACTGAGCCAGCCCTGGTCAGCAGCCCCTGGACACTCTTAGGCAAAGGCTTTCAACCTGTGAGTCATGACCACCCCCCCCCACACACACACACAGGGGTTGCATATCAGATATTTACATTAGGATTCCTAACAGTGGCGAAATTACAGTTAGGAAGTAGCAGTGGAAATAATTTTATGGTTGGGGGTCACCACAACATGAGGAACTATATTAAAGGGTCCCAGCAGTAGGAAGGTTGAGAACCGCTGTTCTTAGGGGATGCAGCCCCCTCCTTGATCTGGGGCCTCTCTGCAGAAGCGGAGCCACTCCCTGGAGGGAAGAGGCAGGAAGAGGCAGGACCTTAGCTCCTCTTATAATCATGCAGGGTAGGCTTCACAGACCCTTTCTGCAGGTGAGGACTCTGAGGTCCAGGGAGGGCGCGATCTGTGCTTAAAGTCACACAGCTCACAATGACAGAGCCAGGAAACATATGCAACACATATCATTGTCCCCCAAGATCCCTAAGGTCACAAAGGCCCCAGGTGGGGACACCTAGACTCTTAGGTCAGGAGCAGCAAGACAAGGAAACAGGAGCCCTCCCCTGTTTTCTGAAAAGCTGCAGAATCAAGATAATTCAGCCTCATACTGGGGTCCTATATACTCTACATATGTGGGTGCCCACAGCCCTACACATTCCGTGAAGGCCCACATTGTATTTCATTCCTGCATGGTAGTCTCCTCTGACAGAGGGCCTCTTCTGCCTTTCGTCACCTGGTAAACTCCTCTTCAGTCTTCAGAACCCCACTCAGGCTGTTCCATCTCAACAGCAAATTAGCAGACTAGATCTTGCTGGGCTGGATAGCGAGGCTCCCTCAGTCCCCACCCTCCTCCAGGAAGGGGATCTCATGACTTGTGTAAAGTAGCTTCACTGTAGTGCTGGGTATGAACACACACAACCACACACACCTGCACACAGGCACACACGCGCACACACACACAAGCACACACCTGCGCACTCTTTCCTACTATGTGGTAAATGCATTGCCTGGTGCTCTCAGAAGGCAGGGTTCTGACAGAACCCAGGCTGGGACACTTGGGTTTGTGGGGCAGCAGGGGCACCCCAGTGAGTTTGTGATGTTACACAGTATTCTGAGTCCTGATTGGACAAAGCTCTGCCCCTCAACTGGGACTCTCACCTACCCTTCCCTCTGCTCTTAGCACTAAGTCTCTGCCAAGGCCTGGTAGCACATCTGTGCCTGACAGCATTTGCAAAAAGAATGGACCCAGAAAGCCCTGGAGATACTCCTATGTGGTTGGGGGCCTTGGTTTGCATGAGAGTAAAATTACAGAATGAAACAAGAATGCTTTGTTTGCCAAAGGCGCTACTGGCTCTGCAGTGGGGATCCAGCTGGGACCCCCTACCGGTTGAATGAGGTTCAGGAGGTGGCTGTGAGCCCCTGATGGCCTCTGTCCTGACCCTCCTCCAGGAGCTGGTCCCTCCCCCTCTCAGGCACTGAACTAGGACCCCAGTCCCAGCTGTTCTTTCTTGGAGCGCCTGCAGACAGCAAGGGTGCCCTGGGCTCCCAGGAGGCAGGCAGGTACCTCTCTGTATTTTCCCTTCTGTAAAGCAGCTCATGGCAAGGATAAATCAGTTAGCATCAAGATGAGAGCAGAGATAAAAAGCACTTTGGAAAAGAAAATAAGCACTGCCCTGGGAGTCACAGAGTCCCTCAGCTGGGGACTCTTTGGCTTATAGCCAGGTTTCCCTGAACACAGTCATGAGAGGGGTGGGTAACTCAGCACCCAGCACCCAGCACTGGCGGACCCACTGCTCCCAGTCACGGGTGTAGCTTCATGGTCCCCACACCCCCACGCACACCATGATCCCTTAGCCAGAAGGAAACCCAACTCCCGCATGCATGCACCTCTTACAGTCATGCCCCTGTCCCTGTTCACCGGCATTCAGGAAGTCAGCAGGTGCCTAAAGACCTGGGTTCAAATCCCAGCACAGCCACTGTTTACCTACTGCCCTTAAACCAGCCCCCCCCCCATCCCTTGGAAAACAGGCTGATCAAATTAATCTTCCTGAACTGTGGAATGTGGTAGAAATTGATGCCCAATGACCCAAAGTCAGATGCTGGCTGCAGGTGACCTGGAGTTAGTTTCCTGGTCTCTAAACATGGTTGAGTGGAGCATGTTCACCCCTGAGTCTCAAGTAACCCTTTGTCCCCACCACAAGGCAAGCCCCACCTTGTGCCAGACCCCCCTAAAGTCTCTGTGTGCACACTTGCTCTTCTGTACCTCACACTCCTCATCAACAGCTTCTGGGACTTGGAAAGGTAGCAGCTCTCTACACCCCGGCTCTGCATTTTACTTTATAGAAGGGGTCAAAGTTCAGTAAGGTCAAGGGTCTCCCACTGGAAGGACATGAACTTGGTTAGATCTCAAGTCACTTCTTCCTACACCTAGACTGTGGTGCCGTCTTTGTTTTACAGTTAACGAACACAAGACCCAGAGAGGGTACAAGACCTGCCCAAAGTCACACAGTAGCAGCAACTTGATCCAGTCTTAGGGCTTAGGGTCCAGGCGCCTTTCTTCCCCCATGTTCATGTGGGGTTTCTGCAGTCTTCTTTCTGAGCCGAGACACGAGGGGCTCCTGAGCAGAGAGGGTACCCCAGGGAGCAGAGCCACCATGCTTGGGGGATACCAGGAGACAGTGAAGGAAGAGACGGCGCTGGGAGCATCTCCTGATGCCCAGGCAGTGGAGAAAGAGCTGCCGCGGGTGCCAGGCAGGCAGCAAGGCCCCATTAGGGCTGGTGGTGGGGCTCCGGGCTCCGCATTTACATATAAATGAAGATATTTACAAATTAATGCATCTCGGCCCAGAGTCCCAGCTCTGCAGCTGTCTGAGCTGCTTCCTCTTCAGCTGGGAAAGAGGGGCGAGAATGAGGCTGGGAATATCACCAGGAACCGGCAGAGAACAATTTCCTGGGGAGCCTCAAGGAGCCCCAGGGACTCCCCGTGCCTGTCTGCAGCTGGTGGGCAGAGAGAGGGTGCCTGTCTCCTGGGGGTGCAGGTGTGCCTCCCTGCAGTGTCACCTTGGGCCATGTTACTGTCCCTCAATGTGTGATGGACTCGGGCACTGGGGAAGGGACTGGTGGGCAGCAGAGCAGTTCACTCCTCAGACCAGAGTAGTAGGGGGTGGGCTGGGCAGGGAGGAGAGGACCCTGCAGTGTAGGGCAAGAGTACTGGAGTATTAATACTAAGTGCTAGAGGACCACCTACCATGCAAAGTGATGGGCCACAAAAAGCAGTGTATGTGTGTGTGTGTGTGTGTGTGTGTGTGTGTAAGTTCACTTGTGTGGGTACACGCACGTGTGTGCAGGGTGACACTTCCTCAGTCACTCACTCTACCTTATACACTGAAGCAGGGTCTCTCACCTAAGCTGAAAGCTCATTTAATTTCACTAGTCCAGCTAATAATCTAGCTCTGAGGATGCCCTATGTCTGCCTCTAGGGTTGCTGGGACTCCGGGCAGGCAGGCTACTGTAACTACAAGTGCTGGGAGCCTGGACTGCAGTCCTCACACCACCGTAATAATTGCTTTATCCCCGGAGCCATCTCACCAGCCCCCAGAACAAGTATTTTAGGATGTTGAGAGTGAGTCCCTCCTGTGCAGTTTCCTGATATATAATACACACTATGGCAAGGAGGACAGGCCAGGTTTGGCCAGGGCACAGTTTGGCAAGGTTTAGTTTAAGCTATCCAAGCAATTTCCAGTGTGCAGCCTCTGCTATGCAAATCGGGGCCATGTAAATAAAGGGCATGCAAATAGGGGCTATGCAAATGAGGGTCATGCAAATAAGGGCGTTCCTGATCAGAGAGGGTGGGTCTCAGGGAACATGGTGGGGGTGAGAATGGGGAGACTGCATGACACAGATGATGTCCAAGCAGAGAAGTTGAGTATAGACAGTCATGCATCAGTGGGTGGGGCAGGAAGCAGGGGTCATTTCATACTTGCCAGCCCGGCAAACACGAAGACCTTGAGGTGAGAAGGGCTGCCTGAGATGGAGCAGGGCCAGGGCATAAGAAACAACAAAATAAGAAGCAATTTACCCTCAGCATCCTGGAAGTCACTGAGGGCTGCGGCCCACTGTGACCCATACTTGAAAGTTCACACTGGCTAACTGAGCAGAGGGAAGAAAGACAAAGGGATCCAGGGAGGAGGCGGGACCTGATCTCCGAGTCCCACAAACACATGGGAACACGTGTCCTCTCACCCACATGGCTGAGAACAGCTGGTTGTTTGAGCACAGCCTGGGTGGGGCTCCATGGAGAAATGAACACACAGCCTTACCCTCCCAGGCTTTGATAGCAGGGAGCAGGGTAGGGTGCGGGTGGACACTGTCAGGTAGACACTAAAGGAACTGACTGTCCCTGAGGGCTCTGATGGGTTTCGGGTCACCAAGGCGGCAGAGCCACGGTATACAAAAGAGGTTGGGGCTTTAAACCTGCCCCTTCCTCCCCATGCTCTCACCAGGCAGCAGGATCCCCCAGGGATCAGTGCATCCTCCCCACCTCAGCACCCAGAATCTGCTTGATATTTAGAGAGGGGTACTGTGTAGTGGGGGGGGGGGGGTGTGCCAGAGCTGAGGAGTCGCTCAGACACAGGCCAAGATGACTCAGCTGGTCAGGCCGAGGAGATGGTGGTGATGGCGGCATTGAAAGTGAATCCTGAATCAAAAGGGGCTTCGAGACAAAAAAGATCTCGGAACAGAGTTTCTAAGTGGAAGGGACAGTGTGTTCAGAGGAGGTGGGAAGGCACCCGGAGAGGGACAAGGCCACTCCAAGTAGGCAGACAATGGTCTTTACAGAGAAACCCTCTGGAGTCTGCTCTAATGAAAACACACTTCTGGGTTTTAAATAGACACATTAACAGCTCAGTCCAAA